TATATAATTATTATATATATATATATATATATATATATATATATATATATATATATGCATACATTTGCTTTTAATTAATTAATAAATGTAAAAAAGAGTTACGAAACTAATAATATACTTAGAAATAAAATCAAATAGCGCACGTACGGAAAATACGTAGACACTGCCTGTAATTACAGTAATCTCTGCTTTAATTCATGCTTACGGGATTCAATGCCATTTAGAAACGAATATTTTTTAGCAATTTTACGCTATTCTTTTCCGTATGTGTATACGATTAAAAATTATTATATATTTTGAAATTTGAAATGTCTATAAATGATATAACTATAGAAAATATAAAATACATTTTGATTTAATAAACATTTTCTTTTTAATAAATTACTTTTTTTCTTCATTATTAAATAATTTTAAATTTTAAATTATTTAAATAAATTATTCATATCATTTGATAATATTATCCAATTGTAAACCGTAACTTTTCTCGCAGATTTTGTTAAGTATTTGATTTTAATATAATTTAGGGATAATAATTTTATTTAACTTATTAAGCTTAATTAATTTTGATTATTAAATTCCATTACATTATCAAAACTAAACAATTTTTTATGGTTTCTCTCTATAGGAGCTGTTGCAGGAATACAAAAAGGTGAATTTCCAGATGACAAAGCGTTAAAATGCTACACGCTCTGTATAATGAAGACAATGCGAACTGTAAGAAAAAATATATATTACGCATAATAAATAAAATATTATATGATTAAAATTAATTCAATAATATTATTAAAGATTAATCACATCAAAAATTGTTATAAGACATAAATATTAATGTGCACAAAAATTATCAAATTTTATATTCTGTTATTCAAGAATTTGTTATAATAATGAAAATATTATATTATTATTTATCAAGTATCAAGTTATAAACAGTTACTCATATGCATTCTTTTTCCAATTAAGTTCAAGAATGGACGCATAGATGAGGGAATGATGATTAAACAAATGGATCTGATGATGCCACCTGAAATGGCGGAGCCTTTGAAAGTGTCTGCGAGTAAATGCGCAGGAATACGTAAGTTTTAAAAATAATATTATATAACTCACAATATATCTTTTTCTCATGTAATTACTATTATAATTATTCACGTTTATAAAAAAAAATTAAAATTTTGATAAAAAATAGTTTTTTCTAAAAAAAGGCATGTTAAATCGATACTCGCATCTCTCGAAATTTTCTCGAAGTATATTGTTGACGCTTTTCCGCGATGCCGATTGGTTCTCTCTCGCTGTCCTAATTTCGTGAATAGCTTGTATCTCACAGAGGATCGTTTTGACAATTGTGTTTCAAGAAGTTAAAAATATTATAGTGTAACAGTAGTATAATAATATTATATTAATTTTTGCTCTTGTGTTTAAAAAGATAAATAGCGCGCGCGCAGCGCGCGTTTGTAATGTCTAGTATTATAAATTCAAACTGCAATATAAAAAAAGAAATGTTGATATGGAATGTTCTTTTGTTTTTATAGCTCCTACTGAAGACGATTGCGAAACAACTTATCAGTTTGTAAAATGCAGTTATGAAACAGATTCGGAACATTTCTTCTTCCCTTAATCAAAATCAATCGCAGATAATTATAATAATGCAATGAGATATCGCAATTAACAAAAAGAATATAATAACATTTATATAAACATGAAATATACAAATGTATTATTGAATCATTCATGTCACAAAGTTTATGTAATTATAAAGTTGTAAATTAATAGATTGGCAAGATTCAATAACTGTATATTAATAATAATAGTAATAATTGACAATATAAAGTAATATAGATATTATTTAGATATTATAATTAATAAGTAGGAAGCTAATCTTAAATAACGCTGGAACAATTATTAAACTTTTATTTAAAAGCAATGAAAACAGATTCGCGGTATTAATATACTTAAAATATACTTAAAAATTATATTTTTTGTTAATAATGATAGAAATATATGCAATTTTCAAAAATTTTTCTCCTATCATTTCCCAGACATTTTAATAAGCGTAAAATAATAAATAAAATATTACAAATATTGCATTCTTTTAAAATATAAAAGTGTCTATAGTTATTAAAAGTTTTGCCTGCCAAATAACGTCATCTATTATATATTCTATTCTTATTTATCAATCTTCTTAAACGTGTTCTAATTCTCGTATGAGATGTCGGAAATATGCGGGACAAACTATGTGGGAAGTACACGGGAAAAACTATATGAGAAGTATATGGGAAAAATGATGAGGGCACTAGATGGAAAAAACTATGTGGAAAGTAAATGGGAAAAACTATGTGGGAAGAAGATGGGATAACTATGTGGGAACTAGATGGGAAAAACTATGTGGGAAGAAGATGGGAAAAATTATGTGGGAAGAAGATAGGAAAAACTATGTGGGAA